ACATTATTTAGGAATAACCAGTGAAAGTTGTGTACAAGAAACAAGAGCATAGATAGAGATATCAAAGATAATTTTGAAGTCTTAATCCCAGCAAACTGATGATTAACATAAATTTTGAAAAGTTCAATTAAACCTTACAGATGCCCATTAATAGCCCATTGTGTTCAAAGTCCTCTACTAAGTGCTAAATATAGGTATTTTATCTATCTAAAGATGAATAGAGGCAACTAGGTGGTTCACTGAATTTAGCCCCAGATCTTGAGTCAAGAGAAAACCTGAATGCAAAACTAACCTCATACACTCATTGTGTGATCCCAGGCAAGTCAGTTATGTTTTGCTAGTCTGTTTCTTCATCTGTGCAATTAAAATAAGAATAGCACCTACCTCACAAGTTTTTGTGAGAATAAAATAATATTTGTAAAGAGATTTGCAAATCTTAAAGTGCTATATAGATGCTAGATATTATGATGTAAAGTCATGTCAGTATTCTTACATTTCCACACTGATAATCATTTATCGGGAGATTATTGTTTGCTGGTAGAATTCAATGTAAATTCATAAACAGGGCATTTTGGCAATGCCGGTTTATAGCAGATCTTTTAACAATATATAGCACACACAATTATATATATATACATATATATATGTATATGTATATGTGTAAATACATGTATATATGTATACATGCATATATGTATGTGTGTGTGTGTATGTATGTATCACCATTGACTTTTATTTAGTAATCCAATGAGGAAGCACTGGAATAGCAATACTTTATTTGGTAGGCTTCATTTACATAGGTAGCATCTTATCAGCTCTTATTCATTCAGGTAACAATTACTACTGACTTTTATTTATGTTAGAAACAAGTTTCTTCAGTAGGGATCAAACAAAGTCTTACTTTTATATAACTTATTTACATTAGCAAAAACATTCCCATATCAAATTAAGATTAGCTATAGTAATCTTTACATTTTTACACCATAGATATATTCAAAATAAACTCTTGTAGGATAGATGATCACAATAAAATTAGTCCCTAAACTAAGCTAAAAATAACTAATAAAATAAGTGAAAGGAACTAAATTAAATAATTAAAGTAAAATAAAATATAACTAAACTAAACTAAAATTTTATGAAATCTGATGCACTTAAAAGGATCTAAACCTGCTCAGGTGGGTTATCTAGAAAGATTAAGCTCTTCATTGTATCTTTTAAATGGTGTATGCATAGCTATGCTATCCTAAACAATTGAAAATTAAATTGTTTCTTTTCAAGTGTGAAATCAATTATCTCACTTTGTTGCCTTGCAGAGGAAGTGGCATCATTGCATGTGTCTTTAGGTAAAGGAGGCATTGCTAATCTGAAGAAACTGTGGTGAAATCTTTCCCCATGTGAAACAATGCTGTCCCTAAGAAGAATGGAAAACATTGACTGAATACTTGTTACTAGAAAGTTCCAATCACAAATTTTGTCACTATGTTGTACTAGCCTTTTTTTTAAATTTGTCTTCCAATTTTGTTCTTCCAGTACAAATACTCATCTTTCAACTCTGTACCATTCCATTTTTTTCCTATTTCTCTCAACTTCATTGTAAGATTATAAATTGATCAGCCATACAGTACTTAATGGGAGAATATGGCCATGAGATATCCTTGCATATTCATTAAACTGGAAAAGGAAATGGTAACCACTCCAAGAAAACCCTGAATGGATTCACAAAGAGTTAGACATGACTGAAAGAACTGAACAACAAAAACCCTAGCACCTAGGACCATGGTGCTGGTGACGCAAATACAAGAAATAAAACTTCCTGCCCTTATTCTACTGGAAGAAAACAGAACATATGCAGACAATTAATTACAAAGTTTATATCCATCAACAATTAATCAACAAACATTTAGTATTTATTATTTAAATATCTGCTATGTGACCAGTACTGTGAAGGATTGCTAGGGATAGAAAGACAAAAAAAAAAAAGAACTTGTTTTCAAGAAATAATCTTTTATATTCTAGATACAAAATAATCTTGGGAGGAGAAAGCACTAGAAATTTAAAGAAATGTGAAAATAATGAGGGAAATAGCTGTAAGGGAGGTGATTTTAAGCAGCTAAAATCTTATCAACAAAAGCATTAAATCAGGAAATTGCATACAAGAATTGGCAGACAATTCTTTTTTTTTTTTTGATTTTGATTCATTTATTTGATAAACATATAAATTCCAACTCGGTGCCCAGCCCAGTGCCAGGGGCTGGACATAGCCTGGGGAGGGGTGGGAGGGAAAGGGAACTTCAGGAATCCTAAAGGCAGAAGCAGGAAGGTGGAAGGTGCCTCATCGGGATGAGGAGAGCAGCAATGTGTCATCACCTGTCATATTTGCCTCCTCTTCCTTCTCTCTGTCCTCCCTAGTTCCCACCCACCCTAGGCCCTTGTGGGCATTCCAGATGTAGAAGTAGTAATAGCAGACCCTGGAAATCTAGGCTTCTAAAAGCCTCCAGCCTGGGAATGTCTCCTGGGACCTGCAGGGAGAGAGACTGTCCGGAGTATAAAGGATGCCATCATTTCTGTTGTCTGTGGCCTCCATGACAGCTGTAAGAACCTCAAAGGGCTCCCAAGGGCAGCTGGGGGGCCCCAGAGGAGGGCCCGCCAGGGGGTGAACCAGCACAAGGAAGGCCCAGAAGAACCACAGGAAAGATGGTGGGGAGGGCAGGGCCTGTCCTACCCCTTCTACCCATCTCCCTGGCCTAGGGATCGAGACTCAGGCACTCATTCACCCTCGGATCCATCCTCTGCTCTCAGCTCCAGACAGGAATGACAAGGGCGAAGTTTCTGGCTCCACTTGGATGCCTGGCCCCTCCCCCGTCCATCGATCAGGGGCCAGAGAGGAGGTGAAGTCAGAGGTCCCTAGTTTGCCAAGGAAGATAAGGTGCTATAGGTCCACAGAGTCCTGGGGACACATAGACAAACCCCCTCCTACCTTTGACCTCCCTGGGCAGAGGGCTAAGCTGGGGAAACTGTTGGCAACTCAAAGGAAGAGGTGCCCCACCCCAGGCTGTAGGGATAAGAATGAGTGAAAGGGATGGGAGGAGCTGGCAGTTTGAGAGGGAGGGTAGTGGGGGTTGCTGAGGGAAGGGGGAGGGGAGGACCTTAAGGTGAGGGTCTCGAGGAGAGTTTGGGGAGAAAGGGATCTTGGCGAGGGCTTGAGGAAAGGGGAACCCTAGAAGAGCTGGGAGATGAAGGAGGGAGGGAAAAGGAGGGGGAGGGAAGTCTTAAGAAGGGGGGGTCGGGAGAAGGCAGGCTGTCCTGAGAGCGGGTGGTGGGAGGATTGGGAAGGGGAAAGAGGGAGTCTTTAGGGAGGGAGGGTTGAGGAGAGGGAAGGGAGTCTTGTGGGAGGGGGATGGAGGAGGTCTTGGCGTGAGGGGTGGGAGTCTTAAGAGTGGGGGGGTTGGGAATCTTAAATTGGAGGGGTTGGGATGAGGGCTGGGAGTGGAGGGGTTGGGGAGGGATAAGGAAATCTTGAGGTGAGGCTTTGGGGACACGACAGAGTAAGGGAGGGTTGGGAGAGGGAGGGGAGTCTATAGAGGGAGGGGGAAGGGGTCTGCAGGGAGGAGAACATGGGGAAGATTAGAAAGGGTCTTGGCAGACAATTCTTAGACTGGGTTATTAGAGTATAGGATTCATGTACACAATTCATAGGAGATAAGGTTTTATTAGAAATTTAAGAATTTAATTATTAGAGTGTTATGATAATTTAGCACATATTTGAATAGAACACTGGAAATATGATAAAAAGATGAAAGTAAAAATAACCACTTTGTGTACATTTAAGAGTATAATGACTATGTCTTACAAAAACATGGAAAATTATATGTTCAATTCTATGCTTGGGGAAATCAAGAGTTTGGGGGCACGCTTCTGGTTAGGATACTTTTCACAAGTTTTTAAACCCATTCTCAAGCAGTCAAATGGATTTTTTTTTTGGTTACAACTCTTCTTCCCTGCCCCCCCCAATAAACCAAGAAGAAACAAATAAAAAATCACAACCATTAATTTTAGTTTTGGTGAGATACCTTGAAATCACATAAGGAAAACATTTCTATAGTTGAGTGAAAGATCCATGAAGTAAATTGCTTTACATTTTAGCATTGTCGTTGGAGTAAAGCTTCTGAAAATATATAATTCAATTCAGGAGCACAGAAAATGGAAAAGGGTGAATAAGAATAAATGTTATCACAACCCACCTGCTCATACCTATTATATAACTCAGTCCTGTTAATCACACTTACTTTGAAAATTATTCTTTATAATGCTAGCAGTAAATTCCTAGGCTGCTTTTGTGATCAAAATTTTGTCCAAAATAAATTTGTTCATTGTTCAGTCTCTAACTGTATATGTGTGTGTGTGTGTGCACATTTGCACACTTAAAACATGTCTATTTTAATGAATGCTTAGTATTTTATGGATCTGACCAATCACTTCAACCAAATGTCAATTTCCTTGAGAGTAGTGATCATGTCTTACAAATCTGAATACCCAGCTTCTACAAGACCTCTTTGCAACATATTAGCCACTAATAAATGTTATTAGTAGTGATCATATTCTTAGGCAAAACAATTATTAAAGAAATAAAAATTTTAAATTATTACTGTCTTTGGACCAGAGTAATGTTATGCCATGATGTATAAAGAATTTTGCTTGCAAAAATTAGAGGACATATTTGACCAATGTTTTGTGTCATATCACTTCATGCCACAAATTTAGAATTGAGAGTCATAATTTTGAAAGACTTCTGTATTCTTTATGGTTCATCCATATTTAATAGCTTTTATTTGGATTAGCCTCCAAGTATAAGTGAAACACACATCCCTTTTCATGGGAAATCTAGAGTAAGAGGATTTGCTTTACAAATGTGTCTCATCTGCCTTGTGTGAAAAAAAATACTTCAAGTTTGAGAAATAAATGGAACTGACAAATGACTTTCATTTTAAATTTGTAAACAGAAAGAACGGGAGAGAGGCTCTAATTTGGCATTTATGTTTCGACTGCCTTTTGCTGCTGGGAGAGTTTTTAGCATCAGTATGTTGGATACACTTTTGTATCAGGTAGGTTATATTTACACAAATGCACATTCTTTAACACTGGTATTTCATTGAAGTGAGCAATTCATATCAATTTCTCCTTTTATATAAATTAGTATCAGCTATGGAGATCTAATAACCAAATAGCAGATTAGATGTAGATGTATTAATGACAATTTAGTGGTTGAAAAGCATTTGGTTTATTTTTGGGGTATAGGTATTGAATTGTTTTTTGTGGCTGATGGGTATTCTGAATATTTTCCCTTAATTGTGACTTTTAAAATAAATTTTGTGAATTGCATTAGAGGTATTCATTTATGTGATAAGAAAGACACAAAAGCATTATTTTCTTTCATTGCAAGTTTTTTTCAGCTTCAAAATTAAGAAAATAAACTGATGTTAATAAAGAGATAAACCAATAGTGTCTTAATCACTCCATAATTACTAAAGTAATTTAAGGAAAATAGCATATTCTTGTTTGGAACATAGTTAAGTAGCAACATACTGATCTTTTATCAATTGTTACATGTTTTAGAAATATTATTCTAGTTGGCTTTCAACTAGAATAATTTTAGCTGGATCTTGAATGCCATTATTAAATTGAGATTATACAAAACAAATAGTTACATCAAGATGTCCTTTTATACAAATCTATTTTGACCATTTTTACTTCTGGTAATATCTGAACAACCAAAATATTTCATACTCATTTCTTTAGATAATCAACAAAACTTTTAATATTAAAAAAAACTTTGATGGAAGTATAGAAGAATTAATTAGAAAATAAGACAAACATGCAGCAACATCTGGAGCAATTTCTGCTGATAGCTTTCTTGAGGTTGCCAACCATATTCTTTCAGAATTTTACTGAAAATGTTCTATTTTTACATTTTATATACCTACTACAAGAGTCAGGGATATGGCTTAGTGAATAGCATGTAGGACTTTAGAGTCAGGAAGCTCTGAGTTCAAATGCGGCCTCAGATACCTACTAGCTTAATGACCCTGAGCAAGTCACTCAACTTCTCTTACACTCAGTTTTCTCAATCTGTAAAATGTGGATAAGAATATCACGTACCTCTCAGAGCTGTTGTATGGATCAAATAAGACAACATGTAGAGTATTTTATAAACCTTAGTGCACCATAAATGCTAGCTATTTTTGATATCATTATTATACATAAGATTGAGAACAGTGATACAAATACACTTTCATGTTAGATTTTTTGTCTAATTTTACCCATAGATATGCATGCCTACTGGCACTGCTTCAAATCATGGAATGATCAGGAAACTGAGGCTGAGAGAAGTGAAGTGATCTGAGGAGAAGGGCTATTTGGAAGATCAGACTAGAACTGAATAGCCTTGTTCTTCTAGTGGTTACCTGCTTTGGTATCATATTATTACAGTGTAAATGATAGGATTACAGGTATAAAACTAGATTGGACATTGGAGGCTATCTGTTTCAAAATTCTCATTTTTTTTTTTGCTAAGTAACCTGAAAAGTAAAAAAGATCAAGTAAAGAGCATATTTGGGATTTGAACCTAGTTCATCTGCCTTGAAATCCAGTACTTTTTCCACTGCACCTTGCTATCTCCCAAATGTGAGGTTGTACCCATTGCTATGTATTTTGGCATCTCTTTGGTCTCTGAGAACTGAAGCCTGTGAAGTTGTCCTTCATGTGTGGCAGCTTTTTGTCTTGATATCACATTCTGTCACATAATCCACTTGTCTACAGTATAAATTCTCTCCTACTATATCCCTGAAGGTTTAGTAAGAGTATATCATTAGGTGTGCTTCCAAAAGAATTGTCTATGTCTCTGTTAGGATGTTTACTATGAACAATTCCCAGCCTGCCCAACTTTCAGTCACAATATTCACAAATACTGAGAGATCTTAGTAGAGGATTACTTTTCTAACTAAAAAGAAAAAAATTACAAAAAACAACAAACAACAAACTTAGCTGCAGTGTTTGAAGAGGGACTACAATGGCATATTATTTGTTAGCATGTTCATATCATGTATTATGAGTACATAAATTGTTTTTAAGAAATGATAAATTATTTATGTAGTCTGAGACATATTTTATGCTAATGAATTTAATTACTGAGTCATATGTGCAATAAATCTTTTTTAACATCTTTTTTTTTAGTCATTTGTGAAGGATTATATGATTTCTATCACCAGACTTCTGTTGGGGTTGGATACCACACCAGGATCAGGATTTCTTTGTTCTGTAAGTTAAGAATATCATGATTAGTAAATTACAGAGATAAAAAGTTCTATCTAGTAACTCCAAGGAGCTTTAGATATCTGTTGTCTTTTAGATATGCTTTTGTCTTTTCTACTGTCTGTCCAAGTCTGATTTTATATTCTTTTGAGCATTGTGTGAGAAAAAAAAAGTTACAACAGTAAAAATATCTTAGTTGATAACATACTGTCTTGCATTTGGAAAACAGGTCTCATTTTTGATAATTCCTACAGAAGAGACTTTAGAAAAAACATTTTTTCTAGTTTGACCTTCTTTCTATGTGGCAAATGGAAGTTTCAAGTTATAATGAGTAGCTCAAGTAAAATAGTTTTCCAAACACAAAATCAACTCTTGTGTACCTACAATCCGGTCTTTCTTATTTTTTAAATATCCTTTGCTTCCCCAACCCCCCAGCTTTCAATAGGGAGATTATAATAAAAGCTAAGGGATCATGCTTTTTTCTTAATTCCTCCCTATGTATTTTCAATTTCTTCTCAATTCTACCCAAAAGTAAAAAGAATTGTGATTGAGATTAGGTGCAAAGGAAATAAGGATATTGGTGCCAAATCATATTTCAACTCACTTGCATTTCTTTCAGACTCACTCACTAGAAAATATTGAAACAAAATATTTAATTGCCCTTTGCTGCACTTGATGTGAGCCATCAAGGCTGATATTTTAGAAAGAAATCAGGAAGCAGTAGTCAAACTAAGACTTAAACTGCTGGGTATCAGTTTGAGAGTTAATTTTACCTTCTAACAATCTGGAATGTGAAGCAGGGAAAGAAAGTAATAAGATAAGCAGAAGAGAGAAGAATAAGAAAGTGAACAGTTTTTCCAATACATTTGTATTGGATCTTCGTAGATTGGCTTCATTGCTTTGTTTTAAATGTTTATTCCTACAGCATTATCCATTATCAAATATAATAACAGCAGTTCATTATGAATTCAAACACCGAATTTGGAGATTATTCTGAGATTCTGAGATTATTCCATGATTTATCTGTTTTCTCTGTGTGGATAGTGACAAAATCATTATACACACTTTGTAGAAAGGGGAAACTTAAGCCAAGTTAATGGCTTGCCTAAGGTTACTCAGCTAAATATCTCTACAAAAACCATGTGTCCTGATTCCCAATACTATGCTATTTTTGCTTCCTTTAATTGTCTCCAATATGCAGTTTCCCATGATCATATTTGTATAGTTAATTTTACCTATATTTTAGGGTTAGCATCCTGATGGGTTAATAGATAAATTTAGCTTAGGAAAATCTACTGTGTGTACATTAAATAGAGAGCTGCTTTTAAGAGATGTGATGAAGCTATGTTATTCTCTGTATATTTATTTTCTTAATAAATATGAATAAATGATTGTCTATATTTTAGATGAAAATCACGGAGGATGATCTGTGGATCAGAACATATGCCAGACTTTACCAGAAGCTATGTTCTTCTACAGGTGATATCCCCATTGGAATCTACAGGACTGAATCACAAAAACTTAGAACATCTGAGGTTTGGAGGATTTGATATATTTCTGAATGTTTTTTTTTAACCTCTTAATATACATTTGAAAACCAGTATTTTTGTAGCAATCAGATTGAAAGTAATTAGGAAACTGTTATGGTGACTGGGATAACTCAAAAACTGATGGGAAATCACAATACATAGTTAAGCAATTATGTCAGGAATCAGTAAGATTGAATAGTTTGGAGATGATCATCTCAAAACTAAGATAACTGCCTCATTTGGGAGTTTTTAAGGTCTTCATTCCAAAACCATCTTTAAAGGTGTCCTGCAGCTCTAGGTTTGACCAGGTCCAAAAATCTAAACTATAACTAGGAAATGCCTGAATTCCAGGTGCTCACAAAATTTCCTGATATAGATCCTATAGAATACAAATGTTAGAAGGGACATTAGAGACCATCTTATCTTCATGAACCGATGAAGATCTGAGGCAAGGGGTAGAATTATTACAGAAAGTTAGTGATGAAAGAGAGCTCAGGCATCATTCAGCCCACCCCATTCCTTTTATAAATGAGAAGACTGCAGCTCAGAAAGAGTCAGTGACTTGGCCAAGGTAAGACACCCAGACAGTAGCAGAGCTGCAACGAAATCTAAAGTCCCATGATGCTTATGGCAGTGTTCTTACAACTAACCCAAATAGGGAACTCATCTTTGGAACTAAGCCCAACTTTCTAGGCATCTATTCTGGTTTGGAGTCCTGAGAAAATCTCCAAGGTGCAGTTCTTTACTATAATAGATTTGTTAGATCTATGCTCTCTAAGGATAAATACCTAAGGTTTGTCCATGTGGTATAGATTACTTGTCAGACACTGGGACACTTTAAAGTTTTGAGCATTTTGATTATAGCTTCATCAAATGGTTCTATTTGCCACATTATTTAAACGTCCCCTGTGAGAAGCTAAATAGCTTTTTGGTTCTCTTAGAGGAATATCAATTACTGATTAAAATGAGAAAACACAGATGTTTTTGTTAGTTAATAGCCTTTATCACTGGCATCTCTTCTGTTGAAACAAAGGTTTTATTTCACATGGTAGAGTAATTAACACTACCTATCAGAACATTTCAGGTAATTATTTTTGCTTTTCTCATTATCTATTCACAGCTAACATTTTCTTGCTTCGTTTGAAAAATGGGGGGGAAATTGTAGGTACACAATTTAGGAAGAACTAATTCATTATTCATGAGAGGTGGTAAGGTAGAATGGTTAGAGAAAGAAGTGGTCTTGAAACCAAGATGATGAGGGTTCAATTCCTGCTTCTGACACATATTGGCTCTGTGACCTTGGGGACCATAGGCAAGTCAAGTCATTACCCTCTTGATGCCATTGGTGTTTTTTGAGAAGGAAGAATGAGCAACAACAAAGGGTTTTGCATAAGGTCTCTAAATAGAGAGGATTTCAAGAGCAGGTTTGGGAGTTAAGCCTTTGTCACACTAGACATGTGCCTCACTACTATTATGGCATAAGTTTGAGATTACTCCTCCCATGGATGTTGTGTGTATTCGTGGGAAAGAGTCAGCTAGGTGTTTTTGGAGAATTATTTTTGTATTACCTGTCTTTACTATGTTATCTGAGAGAAATAATAGCTGCACTTGGGGGAACCAACCTGCTAATTTTAGCAGAAATTGGGGAATGCTGTTCTTTTTTCCTTCCTTCCTTCCTCTTCCTCTTTCTTCTCCTTCTTCTTCTCCTCTTCCTCTTCTTCTTCCTCCTCCTTCTCTCACCCCATGTAGGATATTTTGAAGTTTGGGACTAGATTTAAAAAAATTAGTTGATTGATTAATTATATGTATTTTTAAGCTGGGGCGATTTACTTTTTGTCCTGTGTAGTTCACATTTAGATTTCTTGAAATACAGCTCTGGAAAAATAGGCTTTAAAAAAGCCCACTGTGTCTCAAATGGAGCTACTTGACTATGCCTTTAAATCCATATCACTCTGACTTTCATTGAATGGCCACTAATAGCCCCAGCCCAAGCCTCTGTGACTTGTTTTGTTTAGGTTTTATGGCTTAGAATGAATGTAAATAGCAATTGTTTTTCATTCTGGCCAGAAACTCTGAGGGTCTTCACCTCCCAGAGTGATATTTTCATGATGATAAATTGGCTATCTTTTGTCTAAATTCTTACCTGACCCTTAGTCATTGAATGGGCATTGCCTCAGACAGACTGAGGCCTGGGAAAGACCTTAATTTAGAAAGGCCAAGGTCACCCACTGTATCCTGGCCCATTGCCTGTCATCTTGACTTTTGTCTTGCTACTGGATGTTGATAACTGTGAAGGAGAGAGTGAGACTGACAATTTGATTCAGCTTTGCCTCACTGAAATCTAATAAGACATCACCCTTGTGATGTCATTGATCCTTTTTGAGGACAAATGACAAACAACACTGTGAGTCTGGGGAATCGTTTAACCTCAGTCTTCTAGGAAACACTGTAAGATGACAACTTCCCAAAAAGTTGATGACAAGAATTTACAGTTTGTTAGAGAGTTTCCTCATCTGAGAACTCTCTATATCAATGAAATCAAAAATTTATTTCCCATGTCTATAAAATATAAAGCTCACAATTGCAAAAAAAATTTGTACAATGACTCATTAAAATTTAAAGGAGAAAATAATTTTCATATTTAGGGAAAGCATTTCTACTTCAGTACTGTTAATTATGATCTGTCAAATACATACTTTATAACATAGATTAAAGCCCCATTACACAGAAATGTTTCCTATAACAAAGCCATTTCTGTGTCCTAACAGATGGCTCATAGAAATTCTGCTTAGTCAATCAGGTCACAGTGAGTTCTAGTCAACGAATGCCACCATTTAAATTAGTCTCTATAAATGTAACAGTAACTTCTTATAATGAAAGAACATTATGTGCTGTTTGCATTATAGATAGAGATTTTGCCATAAATAAGCAATTACTCTTCAACTAATGTCAACTTCTGCCTCAAAGAAATCATGCAAAGAAATGCAACTAAACTCCCAAATAACTTACCATACAAGGAAAAACATATAGAATAATGTATAGCTTGAACAGAGGAAAGGAGCTGGAGTTAAACAACATTTAATGCCAACACAATAGTTGGACATCCAATCCATCTATACTAGGTCCAAAGAACTTTTTCTCTAGAAGTTTTAACAGAGATATTTATTTACTCTGCTTCATTTTGGGGTCTTGCAGGCCATAAATATGTTTTTGGAAATATTTTCAAAAATACTATTGCAATAAAATAATTTGTATGTAAATTATTTTTCTCTAGCTAGTTTATCTTTATATATACATATTATACATGTAACAATATTATCATAAACTTTGTAGAAAAAATTTTCAAATCTAATTATTAAGCACTTTAATAAATCCACATCATCCTATCCTTCTAGAAAAATAAAAGTAGGCCTTTGGTGCAAATGCCAGTGGCAGGGGTGGGGTAGTGGTGGTGGGGTCATTTCTGTGACCTAGAAGATTTAAGCCCATAATTTTAAATGATGCTAAAATGATTTATTTTCACAAAACCCAGAGATTTTAAGTAGCTAATTTTAAAAGTGAAGAATATTGAATTCTATGAACTCTGCATACAAAATGCAGCAATGGAAGAAGAAATAATATTGTGATAAAGAGCCATATGTACCCACATGTACACACACATGCACACATACATACACTTGCACCTTGACTAACCATATAGGAATAAACTAGGCAGTAAGGATGAGAGAAAACAGATTTTGTACCACTTTCAGAAATCACCTCTTGAGTGGTACCTAAGTTTGTGCTCCTTGCCATTTGACCTCCAAATCCATCTATATATTAAAGATTCATCAGTAGCCTCTCAGGAATTGATTGATTGATTGATTGATATATTCTTCATTCATTCATTCATTCATTCATTCATTCATTTATTTTTGTTTTGGATAGGCAATGGGGTTATGTGAATTGCCCAGCGTCATGCAGTTAGTGAGTGTCATATATCTGAGGCCGGATTTGAACTCAGCTCCTCCTGAATCCAGGGCCGGTGCTCTATCCACTGCACCACCTCGCTGCTTCTCTCTTAGGGAGCAAATTCAATGTGGTCCCTTGCTCCACTTCCATCTGACCAAAAAACTGCTGGGTTGCTCACATTCCTATCCAAAAAGGAAAGAGGGAATGATTAGAATACTGCCCAAAAAGTATCTATTTTTATATTACTTCACAATTTAACTTAATTTTTCATTGAATAGTGATCTGTAAAGAATAATTTGAAAAAAATATACATGAGTCAGCTATGGACTTTCTTTAAAGTTTCAGGAATGCATAATATTGTAAAGTTATTTTTAAAAGTAAATTTTAAACTTTCAGAATGACTTGGACAAAAATTAGAGTTTTTCAGGAGTTAATGGTTTGTTTTGACATGGTGGTTGCCAACTTTCACTTCTATTAAGTATAGTAACTGCTTTACACTATCTGAAAACTTTAGTGATTGCTAAAGTATTTTCATTTCAAACAAACATCCACATATAAATTAGATTTTAAAATTCCCAAACTTAAGTATTAGCTGTAAGACAACACTGATAGCTATCACTGTCGGTCCACTTGCTGTTCCTGAAAATAGTCTCACTTTGTAATCAGCTGAATTCTACTATAATGCTGATTGTCCTAGCTGCTGCTGTTGTTCTGCACCCATAAACACTTGGGTACCAGTTACAAGGAAATCAACTCTTTCTGCATATAGTCTTTGCTGACAGTATAATAAATATGCATCAAGCATGTTATTTTTATCTACAAAATTTGCTCCAGATTCAAGGTTGCTGTGTAAAGAAAAAAAAATAAGAATTCTCAGTTGGTTTTAGTTAGAGTGACATTGAGACTCACTGCCATGAATAGTCTTTGGCTTCTAAAGTCACAACCAAGTAATGCCATGTGAATAGACTTGTGGCAGTGTTAGATATTGGTAATCATAAGTAACTAAAAATAAATGAAATATGAATTTGATTTTTCCCATCTGCTTATTTTTCCTG